AACCATTTTAAGTTTAATTGCATATAAAAGTTCTTCAGCTACATGGAAAATGAATTGACAGAGAAATAAGGCAGTCTACTAGGAATCAAGGATGAAGTTAGTAAAGGCCAAACCAAATTGGGCTCAATTGCTGTGTGCCCTTTTGCAATGGATAATAATAGTCTTGGTGGTATGTGGAAACCCACATTTAACATTTCCTGCTAAAAGGCTTCCCACAATTCATGGAAACAAAGGAGACAGGCAGTTTTATGATCTTTATTGAAATGGAGTTGGCAGCACACAATTTCTCCCCGGATGGAATGGAAACAGGATGGGTATATCCCCCATTTAGCTGGAGCAGGCACCAAATCTGACCTCTAAAAATGTAACCAAGGGCCAGTTTCAAAATTTTAATATAGGAAGGTAAAAAAATAAACCATAAAACAAACAAACCTACCAGCAACAACAACTCCAAGACACCAAACAGTCATTAGCCCAGAGATCCCAAGAGATGAGCACCTGGCTTCATGGTTTGGGCTTTATATTCCTGCCTGAATTGCTGATTTCTTTCACTGCCTGCCCCAGAGGCACCAACAGAGTCACCTGCCTGTGCTGCAGGGTGAGAACACCACAAAATCTGAGCTTATTAATCAAAAACTACAGCTTGGCAAGGCAGGCAGCTCTTCACAGCACAGATTATTCTGTTTTAGCAGTACTGTCTATAAAATCAAGGTGGGTATGTTTATATTTAGAGTATATAGTCACCTTGTAATCTAACATTAAGAGAAGCAAACAATTAATAAACTCCATTAAAAAGCCCTAAAAATATACTGTAAAAAATGGAATGTATCAGCTTCTAATGAAATATACCTCCAAGTTTCTGCTGTCAGATCTGGTTGCAGCAGATATCATGTTCATTAGAAAAGGAGCAAATCAGACAGAAATCACAGTGAGCCCAGTTATTTTAAAAATATTTTTATTTTTACTACAGCACTCCCAGCTTATTAGAGGAGGTCAGGAATTATATTACCTCTGACAAGGTACTCCCTGTTTCCCCCCTGCCTTAGTTCTAATTATCAGCTGAAGAATTTGGGCTAAATTTATTATAGCTATGCCCACTAGAGAATTCTCTGACTCATGAGAGTGCCTGCACTCATTCCACTCTTCTTGCAAACATAAGTCCAAAAATAGACCAAAATACACTGAGACTTTTGCCCCAGGAGCCTCATGCCACGCTAATGAAATCAATGGGAAATTCAGCACTAACTTCAAACAAATGTAAGATCAAGCACAAAATTATCTTCTAAGATTTCATACTTATTTAGAACGCTGCAGAAGATCTGAAATTGTATTAAGACATTTAATAAATTAAACTCTACATAATTTTGTGAACTTGGGGAACTTGGGCATACCCCATCTAAGCAATAAGAAAGCAAAAGAATTTTAAAAGTGGTTTTCAAATGCAGCTGCTAAATCTGTACCTGATTGTGCACAAGAGAACTGAACAACATGAATTTCATTTTTAGCAGTATTACAAGATGACTGGGACAAAGTGGTTTTGCCAAAGATCAGGCCCCAGTTTTCCAAGCTCTATAACTTCAGGCCCACACAGAAAAAAAATCAATAGTCACACTTGGAAATGCAGTTGTTTTCAACTTTACCAAATCCTACCCAAAAATATTTATGGCAGAGGTCAGTCATGGCAGTGACTGTACCCTCTGTACAGTTCCTTTTTCCTTCTGCTACAATGGAATTATTTCTTGTTGCTTTGCATTATGGCACAGTAGGACTGCTTGGTTTTGAGGGTTTTTTCCTCCCCTTTCTGTTCTTGACCCAACCTTCATGGCACTGCACTGGTTTGGGGTCTTTCTGTACATTCTCTTGCTAACAACATTCAGTTCATTGTCTCGTGAAATAGCAAGTTGACTATTTTGATCACTTTCCTAAGCCCAAACCAGAACATTTATTAGCAGATATTATCCATGATGTCCTGTTTTACCTCTTGTTAACTATTGCCCCTAATTATCTAGTGGGAAAGTCATGGAAAATTACAGATTCAAGATGCTTGGTAAAACAGACTATGATCCAATTCCTTCAACTAAGATAAAAGTTTTCCACCTAATCTCTACAGCATTTGTAGAGATCTTGTAGAAAGAATTAAGGCAGAAATCAAAGCTGAAGTGCATTAAATGATTCAGCATCAAGCTGAGGCAACTGCCCCAGAGAGATTTGCTAACAAGGTTCCAGACTCTGAGGACAGATGTTGCAGTCTGTGACTCAAGTTACAGGGCTAATACAAAAAAACCCCCAACATTTACAGGTATTTGCTCCTGGCTCCCAATTTACTTTTTCATAGCTCAATTACAGACTGCTCATTTTCAGAGCAGAGTTAAGATACCTGCATGTTACTAATGCCCATGATGGCAATATCAAATTTGTTTTTTAAATTTTTATTCAACACTTTGCAATGTGTGGCATTCATATTTTCTGAAAAATCGCTATGCCCAGAATTTTTCTCCTGGGAAGCTGAAAGGCAGCTGAGAGGCCTCAGAGAAAAGGAAAACAATTCTTATCTCATTTGCTTCTCCTGTGTTGTGCTCATGTGGAATGTGTTTGGAGATTGTTTACCCACAGGTGATTGTTCCATTGGATTCTGCTGTGAGTTGTTTTCACTCTTTGGCCAATCAGGGCCAGGCTGTGTCAGGACTCTGGAAAGAGTCACGAGTTTCATTATTATCTTTTTAGCATTGAGTAAGTATTCTTTCTGTATTCTTTAGTATAGTATTCATTAATATAATATAGTATCATAAAGTAATAAATTATCCTTCTGAGAACATGGAGTCAGATTCATCATTCCTGCCTTCATCAGGGCATCCATGCAAATACAACAGCAACACTTAGAAGACTTAGGTAAAACTCTTCTAGAGCACCTTCAGGAATAGACCTGTAGCTGTTGGGCCCTAAAAATACAAGGTATCCACCTGTAAAAAGGGCAAGGAGAGCCCCAGAAGGCTTAGAACCATCGGGTCTGCTTGTGAAAAGGGACTGGGATACTGGGCCCAGAACAAGGTGACACCAGCACACCTCTGCAGGTCAAAGGGGCCTTGACAAACAGCAGAAATGAACTGAGCAGCATCACACACTTCAGCAGAACCAAACATAAAATGCTGAAATTCAGATATACCCCAGGGACTGCCACAGGGTAGGGTTGGGCTGGTGGGGTAATAGCAGTGCAGAAAAGGTCCTGGGAGACCATTAATCCTGTTATCAACACCTACATACATCCAAATCCCAAAATACTTCCTCCATCAAACATCCAATTCTTTCTTTAATGAAGCAGTATGATGTTTAGCAGACAGGGAGTGGGTGGTCAGGTAATTGTGTGAAGCAAAGGTTTCTGAACCAAACAAGATTTTTTGGTGATAAAGAGCTATCACCTAATATCAGCAAAATCCCATAGAAATTTTTCTATTTAATGTAAAACTAATGAGAGGGTCTAGCTTTTTACTTACCTTTAGAAATTTCTTATCTACAGCTCCTAGGCAATGTTCCCAACAAGACAAGAAATAGCCTGCCTCAGAAAGTGAAGCAGGCTGAAACCATGTGCACTGTTTGCACTGATAACCCACTCTGGCAGCCTTTCTTTGCCATCTCCCTGTTAAAAAAATACCAGATCAGGAGGTAACCTCAGATCTTCCACCTTTGACACCCAGAAAGCACCAAGGCACAAGCAGCCTGTGTGTAGGGTGACCATTGGCAGCCTGCTCCCACCCCTGGGATGGAAACCAAAACAAACCAAAACTCCCAATCTCATTCAACTCTATTTTTTTTAACTACTTCAGGAAGAATTACCCTGATGATCACACAAAAGGTGATTTCAAATAAGTATTGGTATTCAACACCGATAAGTATTAGAACTGTTCAATTCAAATAATTCAAATATTGGTACAACTCAATTCAAATAAGTACTGGTACTGTTGGAACCAACAGGAGACCTAGGTGCACATGCATAGTTGGCGTCTTCCACCTGTTTTACAGAGGGAAAAGTGAAGGTTGATATTCCAGCCTGTGCAGAAGAGTGCATACTCTAGTGGCCAGAGCCTGAACAACTATATACCTGAGAACCAAAATTAAAAACCATTACTTGTATTTGGATAAACAGAACAAAAATTCAATGTCACAATCTTAAATTACAGAATTTGCATCAGATTAACATCTGAATATGATTAAACAGGGCTAGAATGCAGAGAGTGAACTTATGGCAGCTCAAGAAATAATCAGGTCCACTACAGTTACACAACACAGCTATCATCTACTAGAAATAAACCTGCATAATTTAGCAGCTGTGTATTTTGAAGGCCTCCCTTCCTACACCATTTATGCAACTACAGATTCAAGTAAACATTCTGAACATGTATACTACAATGGGAATATATGAAGAACAGCAGAATCAAATTCAAAGTAAATAAACCCCAAGTAAAGCAGCATAGTGTGCCTGCTAACTTGAACTCTCAGTTCATCAGAGCAAAAAAGTGTGATCAGCTTTCCCTCCAAGAGATGTCCACAATGGTTCAGGGCAAAAAGAGCTGGGGCAGTTAAGACTCACGAGAAATATTCAACTGCACATTAATTCAGGAGGTGAGAACATCAGACTTAGTTAAAGTATTTTTGCTGCAGGGTAGGGAAAAGGATGTTCTCATTCCATAGGCAGAAACATTGCTGTCCTGTTCTGTAGAGCCTCTTATCCTTTTATTGATAGGGAACACAAGAAATACTGATAGACCTGGCCTTTTTGCCTTCTGTGCACAACTAATTCTAGACCTCTGCTTTGGATCAACTTGTCTGAGCTCACACAGGACAGCCCACAGGACTTGTCCAAGATGCTTTTTGTTTAAACTTACACAAATAGGTAGGTTCTGCACTTGAGAGCTGCCAGAAATCAATATTATGTCAAAAAATTTAAGACCTATTAATTGACTAGGATTCTTTTAAAATTGTATATAAAAGAAGTCTCAGCCTACCTGTAATTCATGATAATATGAATTAGCTGAATGCAGCACTGCTGATAAAGCTTCAAGGTACTTACTAGAGAAGAAGCAAACTTCCATTTTTTCTAAAAAGCCCTTTTTTCAAATGATCCCTGACAGCTTCTGTAATATTTCAGGTCATCTGCCAGCAAGAAGGACAGACTTGAGGAAAACAGCAGTCCTGTGTCTGGGACGGTCTGCCCCTGGGTAAATCAGAAAGAATTGAAAAAAAACCCCACCCATTTTCCAGCAAAGTGCATTGGATAGCAGGGCAGCCCTTCAGCACTGCCAGCTATTCTCAGGTGTGTTTGCACCTATAAAAAAAAAAACAACTATAAACTGTCTGCAGAACTGCAGTGAGGGCTGATTGGTGAGGAAAAGATGAGCACATTTTCTGAAAAATCCCTTCACCCAGGATTTTTCTCCTGGGAAGCTGAGAAGCCTCAGAGAACAAGGAAAACAATTCTTATCTCATTTGCTTCTCCTGTGTTGTGCTCATGTGGAATGTGGTTGGAGATTGTTTACCCACAGGTGATTGTTCTATTGGATTCTGCTGTGAGTTGTTTTCACTCTTTGGCCAATCAGGGCCAGGCTGTGTCAGGACTCTGGAGTCACCAGTTTTCATTATTATCTTTTTAGCATTCTGTAAGTATCCTTTCAGTATTATATAGTATCATAAAGTAATAAATTAACCTCTGAGAAGACAGTCAGATTCATCATTCCTTCCTTCATGGGGGCACCCTAAAAATACAATAATGCAGAGACTCTCTGTGCAACACACATTAGGAAGTTGGTACTGTGGACATGGCACCTCTGGCTGCAGTTCCAGCACTGGAGACTGATTATTATTATTTTACACTTAATTAAAACCCTTCCAGAGCACATTCAGTAGCAAACCTTTAGCTGTTGGGCCCTAAAAATACAAGGCATCTGGCCATAAAAGGAGCAAGGAGAGCCCCAGAAGGCTTAGAACCATCAGGGGCTGCTTGTGAAAAGGAACTCCCTGTGCAGCTCAACACATCACTCGTTAAATTGCACATTTTCATCTTTTTTTTTTCTCCTTGTATGTCTTGTCTTCAGTTAGGAGCCTGTGTCATGGTGATCCTAAACTTTCAGTCATCTACTACAGCACAAACACACACACTTTTCATTCTTTGCAAGGTTACTTCAGTTACTTTCCAGCTCTTTATAGCAGGTAAAGTGTGACAAGTTATCACCACCTGCCCAGCAGGCAGCACCAACCAGTTCATCCAGTGTGTCCTTAGCAGAATGCTGAACCCCCTTGTTGCACTTGTATGCTTAACTTTCCATTTTCAGTGTCAAATGGGGATGGGACTTTCAGGTCTACTGAATAATGGGATCTGTGGGATATATCCTTGAAATAGCTCTCACATTGATTTCTCAGCAGAGCAAATATCTTTCAGTTCAGAAAAGTCCCAGCAGATAAGAAGGCAGCTCCCCACTTCTCCCAGCACCATGCTTTGAGAATAACACATAAAAATTCATCACTGCAAGTTTCCTCTGATTCTTTCACTCCAGATGCAAAGCCTGGACCATGCACTGAAGTCAGCCTTGTCCTTTTCAGTCTTCCTGCAAAGATTTACTGGATAATTTTTTTCATTCTGTCCCACTCCTGTCAATATACCAAAATTCAGCAGAATAGTGCATTTGACAAATCAGGCTGTCTCTCTCCAGTTAAGGATTAGATGTCCTTGAAGTCCTGTATTTTTTACAGCTGGACATATATCATGTTCCAGTTGTGCCCCATGAAATTCTAGATAAACATATGGAAGAATGAGATCCAGCTCTAACAAAGTCCAAAAGAACAAAAAAATTATCTCTGCATTTGGATGGAAACAAATTCTAGGGACTTGGACTGTCCTTCCTGGTTAAGCTCAGGTATCTCATATTTCCTTAACAAATATATAAGGGAATTTGTCATTCCCTTTGCAAAAACATGTATTTTAGCCCACATAAGTAATAACCTCATCTCAAGGTTTTTTGAAAAGGAAATTCAACTGTTCACATCAGAAGAATGCTTTTTCCTCTCTAATGTCCTATTTGGCAAGGATCATGCCCACCAGAGCAACTTCCCACTAATTTTGAAGCCTCAAGATATCTTCAAATAGCAGGTTCAGAGAATCACATGGACATAAAACTCAAAACAAACAATATTACAGAACTGACTGTTGGTCAAACTCTGACTAAGAGCAACACGGCACAATATAATTTAACCCCAGGAAACCTGATATAATTCCAGTGTTCACCTGTATTTGTGCAGGGTGAAATAACTAAGCTTTCTACATTCCTCTGAACTCAGTCACCTTCAGATCTTTGCTTTCTCATTTCTGCACATGCAGCTGGCAAAAACCTCTCTCCCATTTACAAACTGAAAGCTAAGCCTGCAGCACTTCAGCTCGCCCTCTGCCATATGGTTCAGTTTCACAAGTCTGGGCTTCTATTTGCAGATTCTGAGTGTGGGGTTTGCTATTCTTAGCATTTCTGCCTGATTAAAAGCTTGTTTTCTGGTGACTTGTAGCAGAGAGATCACAAAAGCTCCAAGACTCAGGTTCCAAGCTCTGCAGCATGCACTTCTCTGATGGTTTTTTGCTTTTACTGCTCCAAAGCACAGCTCAGAGCACATGATGTGCTGACCCACAGCCCCCCATATGCACTCAAATGGGCTTTCTTCTCCTTGGCAACAATAAATAATCTAATAAAAAAGACACTGCATCTTATAAACAGATTGTTATTCCTTTGCAGATCTCTCCAAGGGCCAGCAAACTTTGACCCAGAAGGCTGACATCTCCAGGCATATCAGATTTAAAAAGAAAAAACCCAGCACCTCTATGAAAATATCTCTCCCTTGCTTACACAAGCCACATGCCACCTCAGCTGTTTCAGAGCACTCTGAACCTCAAATCCAAATGAGAATGTAAATGTTCCGAGGTGGCCAGTGGCAGGGTGACGAGGGGCAGCTTTAACTGAGGTCACTCTGTGGTTGCCAATAGGGAAATGTATTTATTTAATGTATTTATACATTTTAAAGCAGCCACAACAGATTTAATTGATCCCACAAAGGAATCGATTGCTCACTGCCTCTCAGTGCAAGGGAAGGGGGCATCCAATAAAGATGCTTGTTCCAAGTGAAAACAACCAAGTGAGGAGGAAATTCAGGCAGCATGCAATTGATCTTAGATAAAAATTATGTTAGGCTATCCTGTCTCAACCATTCATTTCTGGGCTCTCATCTAACTGCACTCCTGAAAGGCCATTATGTTAATTAAGTTTAGAAGACCAAAAGCATCTCAGTTCCAGATGAATCTGATGAACCCACATGGAAATATTCTTTGGGAACCAGCCTTTTATTCATGGGGATGATTCTCCTTGACCAGTGCAGGATTGTTCTTCAAAGTGTTAAGACTATCCCTATCTGCTTCTTAATATTCCCTTCTTTCATATAAAACAAAATATTCCTGGACTGCACTTAGATACTCTAACTCATGACCCAGTGATATTAGTTACTTTTCCAGCTTCTGAGAGTTTCTAAGGCAGTAATTTCCCAGCTTCCTCATCCCATTTGCTTTGATTAGTTAGACTGGAATTTAGGAACAGTGCTCAGAATCTCTTCTGTGCCTCAGAGAGGTCTGATGCCTTCCTGTCATATGGCACTATGCCCCTTCAAAACAAAACTGCTCAGAGCTGCCAAGTTCCCTTTCCACAGAACAAATTCAGCTCCAAAATTCTGTCCTCCATCAGACCCAGCTCTAACATTACTGATTATAGGTTTCTCTCCTCTCTTCCCTCTTACTATTGAAAGTATGCTTCAGATTAATTTCCTTACATAGGTATTTGCTGTAGAATTAAAAACAAATTAAACATTTCATCCCAGGTTTCTAAGTCCTGGAGACATTTCCAAACAATTTGGTAGGAAAGTACATTTGGAATAAGAAAGAGGCTGCTTGCATTTCATTTCAGATTACCATTTGCCACTTTGGATTCATTTTACAGTCCACTTCATCAACATGCTCTGCAGTTGCCAAACATACCCATGCAATTGTTACTCTATAGAATGAAAACCCAGCTGTACACACAAGGACCCAGGTGCCAAGACATATTTAGAAGGATAAAAACTATTGGAATTGATGGAGTCGCACACTTAAATACTGCAATGGAACTAGGGTCAAATTTTAGGCATGAATTAAGACAATGCAGAAGCTAAAAATCACTCAAGAGGAAAGTTCTTCATGGTCCTGGCTCCACTGCCAGTGCTGTGACCCCTTGGATGTTGTCAGTGCTTGAGAATGTCAGATAAGACTCATTACAGAGCAACCTGCATGAAATTCAGTGACCTCTGACACCAAGTGGATCAGAGTAGACAATCTGATTATGCCTTCTGTGAACCCCCTAAGAGCCATGGATTAGATCCCCCACTGAAAAAGGCTGGGCAGAGCCCCCCAGTGCTCTTAGAGCAGAGGTCTTGCCATCAGCATTTCCAAACAGAAATCAAAGTCAACCTCTCAGTCACCTCCCTTAAAGTTGACAAGGTTATTTTTATTTTTCTCAAACAGTAAGAGCCAGAAAGCAGCTTGGAATTTCTGGGTTTTTTACAAATAATTGTGCTGAAAACTGTGAGTGGAGATGCTGGGAATTTGTAACTTGGAGTTTAGATATGAATCAGCAAAGATGGGATACTCCACTTGGCAGAGTGCCCTTGAATTAGAGGAAGCTGTAAAAGGAGCAATTCTCATGGTTCAAGTTATTGAGGTTTGTGCCCTAATTCTGCACAGATACACACACATGGTGCTTCTCAATGAATAGATGTGCTAGTGATTCTTGTCTCTCCCACCATTAAGTTTTATCCATCAAAAACACAAGTTTCTCCATGCAGAGCTATTTTTATTGTAAGTAATATAAGAGTAGCTTAGCAAAGAAAAAAGGTAGATTGAGATTCATATGTTTAACAAAGGACTACATAGATACGATTTCAAGTATATGCAAAGCAGAAGGATGGATCAGTGCACGAAAATGCCCAAAGGGTAAAGAAGTATTTAAGATCCACAGAGCAGAAGCTGTGAATTGTGACAACTACCTGGGTTTAAAAA